TCTTTCGCGTGGCAGCGTGCGTGCCTGGACACGAACTGGACCGTGCTAGTTGGTCACACGAACGGAGGGCAAAATAACAGGACGGCATATCCACATGCTCGCTGATGGAGTTGGAGTCGGACACCCAGGCCTCCTGTAGTTCTCGCCCCGTCTTATTAGCGGCGCGTGCCGGACAACTGCCTTTCCTGGACGTCCTCGTCACATGCAGACCCAATGGCGAGTTTAGCACCAGGGTTTATAGAAAGGCGACTAGCACAGTCCAGGCGCTCAGCTACCATAGCAACCAGTGGCGTATAAACTACTAACTGTAGCAACTCGGAGTTGCGTGCAAATTCTGTTTAAAATTCGCCTGAAACATTTATGCACAACTTCACTACAAGTGGAGTGTCGTTACTTACTTTACTGTCACCCTGCGTGGGCGCAGTAGCTGGACTGCTTGTTTGGGCGGAGATGTGATCTGTGACGGCGTCCAAAAATACCGCCTTGTCTCTTGCAAGACCCTGAGGGAAGTCTTCAGCATAGTCTTTGGGGATTTTAGGCAGGGAGCCGCATGCGTACGCGTTCAAGTACCTCTGGACTTCCTGTTCATGGCGCTGAGACACAAAAGGGGGGAGACAACGGGGACAAATAAGTCTCTTTTATGCTCCCTCAAAGAAAGAGAACCCACAACAAAACACAATCTGCAAACGTGCGCACCTAACCTTCCGTCCTGGCCTCAATCCACAAGGGCTTGACCTCAATCCATTCAATGATATTCCTGCGTTAGTAGACTAGCCCCATTTAGTATGTTGGCCTAAATCCATGTGGACACAAACCACAATGCGATCTATGCCTCCAGGCATCACTTTGGGCCCGACCCGACTAGGGAACGGACTGCAGTCGTCCGAGTCAAATCTCCTCCTACCTATTCTCCTATTCTTCTGTACAGAATACACATTTCCTACCACTCTGACCTTTCCACCTTTTGTCTCTTCTCCTAGGGAGCCGGGTCTGGAAGGTCGCTGCTGTTAGGGTTAACCTTAATCACCCTAACACCCCTCGATTGATCTTCTCTATTGACTTAAACCACTGCAATAAACCCAGTTCGAGTCA